AAGTATTTGTAGAGTTTCTTTTTTCTCCAAATAATAATCCTATCTAGCTAGTTTTACATTTATAGCAAAAAACGCTTTATTAATTTGACTAATCAATTAAATAATAAACTAATTATATAATTTTAGCAACTTTTAAAGAAGCCGAAGGCATATGTTGAATGGATAGCAATGCTTGTTGAGCAACAGCAACATTCGGATCATCTACCGATGCAATCAAATGTGTTATGCAACAACTCAGGCTCGTTTGAATCACTTTATTCGAATTAACCGGTAAGGCATTCGCTAACTGAAGAAGCACACTCGATCGTTCCACTGCAATATCCATCAATTTAGATAAAAATTGAAGAAAAATCTTTAATAGCATTGAAAATATTCATTAAATGAAGCTAACCATCCTTTTTTTCCGCTGAAAAAAAACTAATGAAAATATTTAAGGAAAAAATTTTGAAAAAGATTAAAGATCAAATGAAAATGATTAATAATTCAAATCATTCACTGATTTACAGTAAACTTCTAAACTTATAAGGTTTTTTTTTTCTAAGGAATAAAGAATAGAAAGTTATGTTGCAATTAATTAACCGGCTGAAAATCGTTCTTCCCATCGTTGATCGATAAATTGTGAATTAACCACTTTCCAGAATATTTCTTCACCGCATGGTAATGTTATACAATGCATAATTAATGGAATTACTAATTCCGCTAACTGAAATTGTATCCTTTGTTGCATCAAAATTTATATATAAAATTAAAAAAAATTCAAAAATTCAAATGAATTTTTTCATAGAGTGTATAGAAATAAAAAAGATGCATGTATTAATTAAAATAATTAGCAAAAGTTCAAATTAATCATATAAAAAGTGCACAATAAAAATTAAGATAAGTAGCAAAAGTTTAAATTAATCATACTTGTGAACGATCTGAACGAAGTAAAGTCCATAATTTTGGTATAAGTAAATTTTCTTGTGCCCAAATTAAGTATCCTCGATGTTCACGACGAGCATTCAACAACGACTCACAGTGAAGGCATAAAAATTTCACCGTTGTAAGCATGTAATAATGCGCATCTGCTTCATACTCCATTTCCAAATTCTAGAAGTAATGATTTAATTGATAGAATCAATAAGTCAATAAGTAATAATGATAGAACAAGTAATGATTTGATTTATCAACATTAAAATCATCAAAATATGTAATGATTTGATTTTTATCAACAGCAGTCAAAATCAACAAGTAATGATTGAATTGATAGAATAATAAGTAATGTTTTAACTGATAGAATCAATAAATAGTGATTTAATTGATAAAATCAAAGTCAATAAGTAATGATTTAACTGATAGGATCAAAAAATACTTTACCGTGACACAGTTACATTTTATACTATTACTCGTATTATTATCACTTATTATCATCTATTATTAGTATTATTAATTTACAGTTATCTGCGATAACATGCTAATAATTGATTACAGTTATGAAAAGAGTGAAAAAGTTCAAATTATACCTCTAAATATATATTATCAATTATTATTGAAAAATATTTTTTTACATACATTTATTTTAACATAAATATTCTAACCGTTAAAATGGAATGAATGAGGCAAAGTTGAGGTGGCAAATCGGAAAGTGAGAAACGGAAACGTCCCACCGATGTATTCCAAAATTTTGCACTTTCCCTTACGGTTGTATCTTCCACTAATGATCCTTTAACATTTTCTATCAACGATGATGTTATAATATGATGTGTTTCACATCCCACATCTCTCTCCGTTAATGTTGTTGCATGTGCCACAGCTGTTTCAACCTAATTAAACTAAAATGAATGATTATTTCTTGATTAATTAAAACATTTCTTATATCTTAACAAATTCTAGCAACAAATAATAGCAATGTTTAAGAAAAAAACTAACTAACTAAGTAAGTAAATTTTGAATAAAATTCCTTCTATTCATTATGATGGTGGCAATTTAAAAAAAAAAAAAAATAAAATCATCAAATTAGCTAAGTAAGAAATAAAATAAGGAAGCCAAAATGAGTGTTACTATCTTTGGCTTATAATTTATTGTACTTTCTTTGATTCATTCTAATTCTCTAACTTATCTTTTATGTAAATGTACAATAAACCTCTTCACTGGGCAATAGACCAACAAATTCGACGTTTGTTTCATGAATGGTAGCTGTTTGAAATTGAAGTTTAACACCATCTATTGTTGCTGACTTTTGAATAAGTGATGATGGTGATGATGATGATGATGATGGTGCTAATGTATCTGATACTGGTGCTATCACTGATGGTGTACATTTATCAACCGGTGAATTTTTCGATGAAACATTAGCAATTTGTGCTTTCCAATCAGTTATTTGCTAAAAATTAAAATAGAAATTATCAGCAGTTAGAATAAAATATCATCAAAGAAATGTATCGAAATTGATGTACCTCATCAGCATGAACTGATATACGAAGTTGCTGTTTGGGAGATAATCGTTCCATAAGTCGAGCAACAGTTTGATAAACAAAAACAGATTGTTGACAAGCGGAACAATCAAGAAATTCATCCAATTCCGGATTATCACAACTATGCTTACAATGTGCAAATGGCTTTTGCAGTATTATAGCACACGTGGAAAAGATCAATTCAGCCATCATTTTTACTTCATGTTCTGATTGATCACTTAGAGATATCTGTAGCAGTCATAATAATGAAATGTATTTATGCAATTGAATTAGATGATTTCAAATTAATCATTTCATTTAATTAATTCTAATAGTACAATAATTTGAATAAAAGAGAAGATAGAAAAAAAAACACATTGAAAAAAACACATTAATTAGTATTGGATAATTTGAAATGGAAAAAGTAATTTTCTGGAATAACTTTTTACTTGATATTGTAATCAAATATTACGTGTGAAAAATAATTCAAACAGTTATCAAATATTTACATTATTTTCATCATACCGATGAATTTTTTTTTTTTGATTCACCAAATAAATTTACTATTTGTTATTTTAATTAGAAATACCTGCTGCGACATAATATCGATCATGGAAACATGCAGAGATATATGTTCCTCTTCTAAACCATTCTCATTATTTTGTTTTAATTCCATTTGTGATATTCTTAAAGCACATTTGGAAAATGCATCAAGTAAGATTGAAAGCGGTATTGAAATTTCCATCAATGATAAAGCCTATAATAAATTTATCTCATAAATCATTAATTATAATTTGTAAAAAAATCATTGCTTATCATTTAGAAATTTTTAGCAGATTTTTTCCCCTTTTGTGGAAGTTTTTTAAGCTTTCATAATAGGAATTTATTAATTTTAAAAGTTTTAAACTTCGGAACTAAAATTTGGGTATAAAATTAAATTGGTTCCGAAAAATTCGACTTTTATATATTCCAATAATAATAAAATTAAAATTCTAACATAAACCCAGTCGAGCGCATTTGAAATACTTCTTTCATCGCCTGTTGTTAAGTGATTGGTAATAAACTGATACAGTTGCTCATCATTGAACGGCAAAGGACGAAGGTCAGGTTCAAATATTTTGCTACAAAAATGAACATTTAGAAAAATATATATATAGCAATTCTAAATTAATTTTAAAGTCCACATAAGCGGAAATTATAAATTCATAGAGAAGGCAACCATTAAATTAAATATTAAATTAAAAAGTAGAAAGGATGTGCACATGTTTCAGTGAATTCAGACGGAAGTAATACCTAAGTAATATTTTGAACTCAGAAAAATCATCATTTTCCATCAAATCACAAATATTTTGCATCCATTCTGGTATTAATCGATTCCACGTGTTCAACGTAATAATATCATACGGCATTATCGCAAATAACTTTTGAAGTCCATCGTGCATTTGTTCCTTTTTTGTTGAAAGCCTATCCCAGACACCACCAACCTGAGAAAAAAATTCAAAAACAATTTCAATTATTCAAATTGTAACTGTTTCCTTTAGTATCGAACCGATTTGAACATTTTCCACAAAACAAAGCAATTAGATAATTTTGCCATTCAAATTTTAAAGCTTCAATATATTAATTTCAAAAAAAAAAAAAATATCAATAACCATAATGAGTTAAAGCAAATTTCAATCGTTCCAATTTTTCTTCAACTAAAACTCCAATTTCTAATAAAAAAAAGACTACCTGAGCATATTCCGGTGGATTTGGCATTAAAGTTTCGAGGAAAATTTCATAATGATTCATAATTGTCAAATTGATCCAATCCAATACAAACTACAAAAAAAAGAAAGAAAACTCATAAAACAAAAATTCCTAATTCATCAATTAATTCTCAATTCTTCAATTAAAACTCATAAAACATAAATTCTTAATTCACCAATTAATATTAGTAAACTTTTTTATCAAATATAGATCAGCAAAAAAGAAATGAAAGGAAAGAAAGAAAAAACGAATTTGCACAATTTATACAATTATCGATCATTCATTAATTTATTTCCATGCAGTCAATTAGTTTATTCCTTAAAATGTTTTCCTTTCCATCCATTTTTCTTTCATTTATATATTGTGCAACAAATTTCTCATTTCATTCCGTTTTAGATATATTTCTCCGAATAATACTAACAAACAATCATTGAATAAACAGCTAGCCAAAAGCTATTTATCATTTTAGCACATTTTTTTATAACATTATATTCATTATTTATCCCTCTCTCCCTCTCTCTCTCCCTCTCTCCCTCTCTCTCTCCCTCTCT